CCTCAATGCCCAGATCAGAATCTCTAAATGCCACTGCCCACTGAAGAAATTAGAGCTCCCAGGAGAAAGTATGGATTCTACATGTGGGCCAGGAAATGTGTAAGGTGAACCTAGAACATCTTTTTATACTAGAAAGCAGGGATGCCATCAAAAATTACCATGGTCCTATCAAAAGGACTGAGAAAGTGCCTTGAAGAGGCTCCACCTGGACAAGATGGTATAATCTGAGGATCAGTAAGAAAAATAGTTCCACCAGACTGAAACACGGCAAACGTGGAAATCCAATATTCTTAACAATACCATTTTCCAAAAAGAAGTTAATGGCTCTCTTTGAAGAATATTAGGAAAGGAATGCAATGTTCCGAACATTGACAAATAAGGGAAAGAATCAAGCATTGATTTGCTTTTCCTATTTCTTATCTTTTAACTGTATTTCATGGAAAATCTAAGAGTTGCTGAAGATAATGAGAAAGAATGATGGAATTAGACTCATTACTTGATAATACTTGATGGGATAATAAGTTCATTCTAGACAATCATTAAGGTTTGCTTGCTAACATCATAGAGAGAGAGAGAGAGAGAGAGACAACCGGGACCAGCAGTTGGCATGATGGCTATGTAGCTCGACTCCCTTGTAATTGACCACAGTTCGATTCCTGGACCCAGTGGCTTAAATTCATGCTGGGCACATGTGCGTGTGTTCCCAAGATCCCAAGAGGAGAATGGAGGAGAAGGGATTGCTGTGTGGCCATCCCCCCAGGGGGGTGATTTCTTACTTTCTGTCCCCCGTCTCTCACTCTGTCTTTTTGGCAAGTACATGTGTCCTATAGCAAAAACCTCTCCAAAAAAAAAAAGAAGAAGAGAAAGAGAGAGACAACCAAACATGTGTGCCTTCTAATGAAAAATGGAAGTATACAGCAGCACTTCCCACATAAAAAATGTCAAACTTTAAGCTGATTAAAATGCTCCCTGAATAACCGGAACTTGAAGGACATGTTAGATGGCATGCATGAGGATATATTCACCAAATGAGCACTATCTAGTTCCGTTGGACAAAAGATTGTCGCTTTGGGACCAGCAGTTAGCATAATGGCTATGTTGCTGGACTCCTGTGTAGTCGACTGTGGTTCAAGTCGCAGACCCGGTGGCTAAAAACTCACGCCAGGCGTGTGTGTGTGCATGCCCAAGATCCCAAGAGGAGAATGGAGGAGAAGGGATTGTGGCGTGGCCATCCCCCCGGTGGGTAATTTCTTGCTTTCAATCTGTCTGTCTCTCTCTGTCTTCTTGGTGAGCGCATGTGCCCTATAGCAAAAATCTCTCCAAAAAAAAAAAAAGAAGAAAAGATTGTCTCTTTGTCAAACTTGGAAATTTCACAGGGGGGGAAAAAAACAAGGAAGGTGAAAGGAAGTCAAGTTTAAGATATACAAAGCAATCATAGTTTGTGTAATTTTTAATTTATTTGAATCCTACTTCTAGCAATTTAAAAATTATGAGATAATTAGGGAGAGCTGAATACACCCAATGATATTTAAAAATTATCATTGCTTCTTGAAGTCTAATTATGGAATTGTGGCTGCATTTTTTTAATGGTCTTCTGCTTTTAGAGACACGTACTCAAATATTTACTGATGAAATCTGATGTTTGCTTCCTAATCATCTGGAGTGGGATAAGGAGTAAGGTGAGATGAAACAACCAGCAAAAGTTGGTCACTGCAGAGCCTAGTACACATGCATGGAAGTTACTTCTTTTTACCCTTAAATAAGTTTAAAATTTTCTACAATGAAAAATTTAATCTGTGTGTGGCGTGACCACTGCTGGGTATATACTGCCTATATTTTTGTGATTATAGCCCTCATAAACATATTTCATAATTACCTCATTTGTGCCTCAGAAATACTCCACAGTGAAATTAATTTTACTATCTTAATTTTTGAAACAAAGTTTACTTCTTTCTGGGGCCAGCAGGTAGCATGGTGATGGTACTGGACTCCCACGTGGCCGAAGGCAGTTTGAGTACCAGACCTGGTGGCTTACTTTCTCACTTTCCCTCTCTGTGTCTCTCTGGTGAGTGCATGTACTCTACAGCAAAATTTAAAAAAAATAATAACAACAATAAATAAAAGTAAATAATGTAAAATATATATATATATAAAAAGTTTACTTCTTTTTTTCTTGAGAGAGAGCATGAACATCCCACACTGTGACACCTCCACTCCCATCTCCAGCCTTCCCTGACAGCCTGTGCATGTTGGCCAGGGAAGTGAGCCAGAAATCCTCCCTTTGGGTTCAGCATGGATTGAACTGCATGTTATTTACCAGCTTTCCAATGATTTTTCTAATTTTTAAAATGAAACTGAGGTGGTCCAAGGTCACCATGCCAATAGGTATTGGGCAGTGGGCAGAGCAGAGACTCGAGTCCAAGCCTGCTGACCCTCCCACGCTCACACTTAACCTTGCACATGACTGCCTCTTCTTGGGTTCTCCTCGGGTCCCATTTTCAAATGCCAGTTACACTGGATCAGGGCAGGGCAGAGGGTTCAGCCCTCAATTCTTGGGAAGGTGATCTGGGAGCTGCTTGACAGGGAAGACCCTGAAAAGGGCTGAGCCCTCTTAGCTGACTTTTCTATCTTTTCCTTTCCAAGAAGCCTATTAGGAGGAAGATAGAAAAAGAAATCATTTAAAAACATTCTCAAATGTTTCTGGAAAACACAGAAGGCCTCCAGCTAAGAGAAGGGCTGAGAAGTGAAATAAGCACGTCCTTCGGAAGTGGGCGGACCTAAACTGGGGTTGAGACCCACCACTTCCAGAAATTTCCTTAAGTTCCTTGAGATTCTGTTCCCTCCGCCACAAAAAGGGACAAGAAAACCCACCTTGCAGAGTGCTGTGAGCTTTCCTAGAGTGGTTTCTGTAAAGGTCTCATCCATCACCCAGAGCCCAGCAGACACGCCATGCAGAGAGAGCTGCTATAAAACGCTATTGGCATGAAAGAAAACCATTACTGAAAAATGACTCAGTCACTCAGAGTCTGGAAGCTTAGAGGTTCATCAGGGTCCCCTGTGTCTGCAGCGTGACTGCTCCTGTCCCCACAGCACGCCCTCCTTCCCCACAGGATCCACTATCAGGTCTCAGCAGCTCCGTCCACATGTGGGAGTCAGCAGACTGAGCTGTTGCTCTCCTCGTCCTTGGTGCCCTGGCCCTGGGAGAGTCACCAAACTCTCTGGGATTCTGCTTTTATTCTTTTTCTAGTAGACAAGTGGTCTCTAATACCTTCTAGCTCTAAAAATCTGCCTTGAGAGCACTTCACTTCCTATTACGGTTGTCCGACCATGGCTATCACAGAGCCACTGCGTGGAGGGAAGGTACTTGTTCAGTACAATGTCCTGCTAAGTAGGAACTGAGTGGTTACCAGGCTAATAACCTCCGTACTCCCCTCCTCTCCCCCCCCCAGCCCCCCACATCTGGCAGCATCCTTCATGCAGCTCTGCTGGCTCAGGACCTTAGACCAGAATCCACCCCCATGCAGACGCCCTGTTCCCTCCTGCCCCTCACAGCTCTATCGCTCTGGGTCCTCTTCTCAATCAAACTCACCTTCTTCTGAACACGTCGATGAGGTCTCAGGTTATCCCCAAGGAAGCTGTTTGAGCTGGTGCTTTTTCTTTAACTGTGAGACAAAAGTGTTTGTGTCCCCACCAAAACCTCTCAGTCAGGAAGTACAGTTGGGAGGAGTCAGTGAAGAAACTGCTTGCCTTTAAAGAGAAATAAATGCTGTCCCATAATTTGGTGGGTGCCTCAGTTTTGCCAAATTAAAATTGTTTGTGCACATGCCTGTTTTAACACCTAAATTTTTAAAGGTACATTTTTTGCTTTGGCTTCTAGTAGTAGATCAAAGGGGGCCTTAGCAAATGACACAACTGCCCAGAGAGCCATGCACAGTGTCTGATCACTTTCTATGGTTGATGTGGAGACTGAAGGGTGATTTGAGGAAGAAGATGGCTATTCACCTTGGTGTTACCAACTGTAGAGCATGGGGATAATTCTAGGTGATTGTATAGTATGGGTTATTTCAGGAATGTCTTAAATTGCTCATTGAAAAATGAATAGCACTGAGATCCAAAACCAAAAGGGTCTAAACTATTAGGAACCAACAGAGGTAAGACAAGGTGGAAGCCTGAAATTATCCACCAGTGACCATGTAGCTTCTCTAGTTTTTCCAGACAAGTAATGATGCTCCCAGAGAACAGACTCTACTTCCCTTCCCAACCGTTCTACCTATCCCACATCCACCTAATGTAGGCTCGAACAGATAGATTTTTCTGGATTTACCCAACAGATGGTTTCAACCTGCTCTGCAGATTTTTTGAGGTAAGGGACAAGTTTCCAAAGTTCTTGTGATTGACCATATGCTTCCGTTGGTTTTTGGTTCACTATGAAAATAACTTGTGTTGATTTTACATGTGGTGTGTGTGTGCATGCACATGTGCGTATAAAAGCTCAGGTTTAGTTTTGCTGCTATGGTGCTAGATAAAGGTAAAGTTTAATTTACTAAGACATTGCATGAGTAATAACAGGAAATGAAAAGAATAGTTCCTCACATCATCCAGGCTCTTACACAAATGAAATCTTGAAATCTTGGTGTGAGTCAATGGCTGCCATAACACACTACCCAAAATTTAATGGTCTAAAACACAAATGTATTCTGTTTTTTTTATCTTGACATCAGAAGTCCAAAATTAGTCTTACTGGGATAAAATCAAGATATTAGCAGAGCTGGTTCCCTCTGGAGGATCCAGAGAGAATTAGTCCCTAGACTCTTTCTGCTTCTAGAGGCCGCCAACATTCCTTAGCTTGTGACCGCTGCGCTCCAATTTCTGCTGCCATCTTCATGTTTCTTTCTGCTTCTTCTTACCTCCTTACCTCCCTCTATAAGGACTTTTGTGATTACAGTTAGAGCCACCCATGTATTTCTTGTATTTCTCTTTCTCAGTGTCAAAGATGTCACCTTCCTGGTGTCTGAGTTTTTGCAGTTTCTCTTTCTTTTCTTTCTTTTTTTCTTTTCTTTTTTTTTTTTTT